AAGCCCATTCCCTCTAGTCCTGTCCCTGCAGGCATGACAGGAGAGGCCATTCCCCACCTCTCTACAACCCTGTCAGGGAGTTGAATAGCAGTCATTGAGAGCAGCCCTGGCAGTGTTCACAGCTAGGTTGGCTAAAGCCTTGAGCAACCTGCTCTGGTGGGAGGTGTCCCTGCCCAGGGCAGGGGGTTGGGGCTGGATGATCTCTAAGGTCAATTCCAACACCTGAAATTCTATGATTCTCTGATACGTTTGCTTCTAGAGATCAAAGCCACAGTGGTGTACCCTGCCACGGAGAAACACATCCAGAAGTACCTCCGCCAGGAAGTGCACCTCATCCGAGAAACCTGGGAGGATTACAAGAGCATAACCCTGCCCTACATCCAGTCCCAGAGCTTCAGCATCCAGGTATGGGTGCCACCACCTCCATCTGCAGAGACAGATGGCTTCGGTTCCCTCCTTCAACACTCTGGGCTGCCAAGTGCCTCCTCCGAGGCCCAGGCTGGAGTGTCAGGAGTGCTAGGCCCTGGCTCCCTGTGGGCTGTGTTGTAGCTCCATGGTGCTGACCCCTCTCATCCAGCTGCCTGGGACATCCTTTTCCAGCTTTGCACAAAAGCGTTTGCCTTGGAGCTGTGCACCTAGTTGCCTTTCCCAAGGCTTCTGGAGAAGCACTGAGGCGTTTCTTCTTTCCCAGGGTGGCTCCCTGGGCGTTGGTGCTGTTTTCTGGGCCTTTTAGGAGTCTCTGGGGTATTGTGGGGATGGATTCCTGTATCACAACTCACTCCTCTGGCTGCAGCTTCTGTCATTCACCACTTCAGTCCATATTGAAGCTGCTATTTTCTGTGTCCTCCTTGCCCCAGGCAGCCTCAGACTTCTCCCCTGATTTTATCCTTTTTGACCCTTTCTATCTTTCTCCTTTGGAGGCCAAAGAAGCATAAGTCTGTAGGAGCCAATCCATGCCAGCTTGTGCAGAAGGGGGAATAAAACAAATCGAGAAAATGTTGAGGCTATGCATTAAAAATAACTTCCAAAACCATCCAGGGGCCTTGGATACCCCTCAGACCTCTCTCTTGCTGCCTTAAACTGCAGCATTTATTAGCTGGAGAAAGGCAGGAGCATGTTTCCACCAGGCCTCAGCCCGCACAGATGTTTTTCTCTGTGCTTTTGCTCCCAAATCTGTGAAGTTACCTGGTGTAGCAGCTGCATTCAGGAATTGCTTGAGCTCTCACTCTGCCTCTTCCACAAAATGCTTGTGAGCTGGTTTCTGTACAGGGAAACATATTCCTGGTGACCATCAGGAGCATCTGCTGAGGAATCACAGTCCTTGACCTCTGGGATTTGATAATGCTGTTCCTTGTCTTTATCCAAGTGGTTTTGCTGAGTGCAAGGGGAAGTGTGAAGGGTAGCAGAAATACCAGGGGAGTACAGAGGCCTCTGTGTTTCCTGCCTGAGGATGGAGAGTGTGGATGCTTTCAGGATAATGGTTTTATTGTCGTGCCAGTCCCTGGACATGTGTTCTCCTCACAGGGCTTGTGCTGGAAGCAGCAGGAGCAGTCAGCTGGTGACCTGCCCATCATGAGGCAGCACTGGGTTTAATTCCGCCCATCTGATCACTGAACTTATTCAGGGCACTGATATCTTGGCACTTGTGAACAGAGCAGGCATAAAAGCCCCAGCAAAGGGCAAACTTCCAGTTCCTACTGAGCTTCCTGCCTTGCTTTCCTCCCAGAGTCACAGAGCACAGCCAGTTGTGCTGTGCTTTCCAAAGTCACTTGAAGAATCTAATCTCCAACATCTTGTTGCTAAGAAAAGACCAGAAATTTCAGAGAATAAAACAACCCAGCTCAAGGGAGGAGAAGTTGGTTTCTCCCTCAGGTCAGTTCACAGTGATCCTAAATGTTGATTAGATTAATCTCTTGATGGAGTTCCTCCGAAGTGGTGTGCACAGTGTCCACTGGCCCAGCTCACTTCGTGTGTTTGAGACTAGCTGCAGCTTCCCTACCCATCTAGGGCCACCAGAATGTTTCATACGTATATTTGCTGGCAAAATGATGTTCCCAAACATTTTCAGCTTCCAAGTCCTAGCAATTTCCTACTGCCTTTGTTATCTTCTAGAGCCCTGGCTGGGGACTCCCTTGGCAGTCTAACACTTAAGCTACAGTGTAAAGTGCATTTTGGAGGTGTAAAGAAGGATGCTGGAGCTCAGGCTGGGAACCAGGGAGAGCAAAGACGCTTTGCTGTAGTCTTACTCTCTCCCTTATCTCTGATGCATTCTGTTTTGTAGCTAAAATCCTTTGAATGGTGCTTGCTTTGCAGCAGGAGCATGGGGGGATAAGCAGAGCAGGGATTACAGGCAGGCTGGAGGCTGGAACTTGAAGTAGGGAAGAAGAAGAGTGCTGAGCTGTTTTCTAATCAGCCAGGGAGCCAGGAGACGTGCACTGCCCAAAAAACACAGCCCTTTGGTATTCACCCAGGGAGGTGCCAGCAGCCAGAACCTCATCCAGGACAAGCTTGTGAGCACTCTGCTCCTTCCTTTTGGAACAGGGAAAAAATCAAGCAAGTTCCCTTCCCAGACCTTCTTGTAAAGATTTTGGTGCAGCCTGGGGTCGAAAAGGTGCAAACAGCCCTGTGGTGCTGCAAGAGGTGTATGCTGAGCCCCACAAGAGTTGGGTTCAACTGCTTTTCACTGAGGTGCTCACAATATCCTGCAGTTTGTTTGGTCTTGGAGCATTTTATGGATAATTAACTACAAATTGTTTGGTCACCTTAAAATCATTTGGGTTTGGGGTTTTTTTTATGCTCTCGTTGCAGGGAATGTGCAGTCATCCATGAGCTTGGGCTAAATGCGCCTGAGATGTTGTTTTTATTCTCTGCTGGTGTATAAATCACATATTTCTCTTTCAGTGGGTGTACAATATCCTGGAGAAGAAAGCTGAGGCCGATCGAATTGTCCATGAAAACCCAGATCCTTCCACTGGCTTTGTTCTAGTTCCAGATCTAAAGTGGAATCAAAGTCAGGTTAGTTTGCTCCTCTTGCTGCATGTCTGAAGGTGATCCAGGGGAAATGTCCACTTTGCAGCTGCTAATCACACCCTGATGAGAGCTTTAGTAGGTGACTGTGTCCTTCCTGTTCACACTGTCATTAGTGATGACATTGCCAGGGCCTTTTATCACATGCTGATTGCAGAACTTACTGCTGCTGGGAGGCATTTATTAGGTTTACTTTCTCATTCCTTTATCAGCTCAAATGTTGTCAGGATGTGTTTGACCTGAAATCCTGTGTATTTGTTTCTGCTGAACTTGTCTGAGTTTGTTGGTTTTTTTTGCAAGCAAAATCAGTGTTGTCCTTTGGTTGCTGCAATTAACTCATTGTTAAACAGATGATCCTTGGCTGCTGAGCAGCTGTTTTGCCTCTTGTGGGAGTGGCCACTTGGTGGTTTTTAAGCCCAGACTGTAATCTTAAATAGAGAATTATTTCCTTGGGCTTTGGCCTCCTTTCCTGCTGTACTCTTGAGGAACGTGAAGCTCCACACACACCCCTTGGAGCTGGGGGAGTGAAAAAAAGTCCCCTTTGTGTTTCTGATCCTCATATGCTTCTGCAGGTGGGGAAAGTTACCATGTGATTAAGACTCAGAAATGGAAAGGAAAACTCCAAAAAAAAGGGAACACAGGCCTGCTGGTGGGCAGCACCATCCTGTGCGTGCTGGGAGCAGCTGCTTTGGTGTGGTGCTGAGTTGTCCAGGGGAGTGACTTGGGTCACAGCAGGGTGATCTCTGGTCCTCGTGAATTCCTTGCACATCAGTTGCTGCAGAAATCCTCTGTGGAGCTGTCATGGGGTAACCAAGCTCAAATTTGCAGTTGTTCACCAGAGGCACAACCTTCCTGGAGAGGCTGCAGCACAGGGGACACATGTCCGGCCTGCAGGTTATGCCACTGTGCCCTGTTCAGTGCCCTGTATTTCCAAGGGGACAGTGTTTAGGGATCCCAAAACCTGCAGCATGCTGTCCCTTTCCTGGCTGTGGCAAAGCCTCAGTGTACATCCTCACTCCATCAGGATTGGCCTAAAACCATGGGTGGGCTAAAGTTTGTGCTTTAGGTTTCTCTAGGGACCTAATGCATCCATGGCTCACAGCTGGCACAGTCAGGAGGCTGTGAGGGAGGATTTGCCCTTAGGGGAGGTTTCCCCATGCTCCTGTCCTCCTGGAATCCTCTGGGAATGCTGAACAGGATCTCCTGGATTTTTCCCTGGCTGTCGGATTGCTGTCTGCATCCCAGGAGCTATCCAGGCCTGCCGGTCCTTTTCCCAGGCAGGCAAGCCAGGATCCCAGGAAGGGCTGTCTGCCTTGCCTCGGAGCCAAGGAATTTTTCTCGGCTGTGGGTGGTGCTGAGCCAGAGCTGATTCTGCTGGCCCCAGGGCTGCACCGATCCTTCCGCATCCCACCCGTGGGGCAAGGCTGTGTATGTCTGGGGAGAGAGACACCTCCTAGCAGGGCTCAGAAACCCTTTCAGCAGTGTTCCCTCCTGCTGGCTCAGCACCTTGCCCACAGATCCTGTGAATTCACCTGTGATTATCTCAGGCTGATGGCCATGAGGAAAATTTCTCCTTTGCATTGTGACATCTGCCAACCTCAACCTTCTGGGTGCTGCCCTAGCTCCTGCTGGGCAGCCTTGGTGGTGGTTTGAGTTGATTTCTTGGTGTGGTTTGGGGGTTTTTTTTGTTTTTTTTTAATTTCAAATGTTTTGGTGTGGTCGTTTTCCCCCAGAACTTCTGAGTTGGTTCCGGACCCGCAGGAGCCCCGAGGCGTTGCCTGAAGCAATGCCCAGCATGACATCATTCCAGGCCTTTTTAGCAACAGGCCTATTTGTTTCAAACAGCAACATGCAGATGTTGTTCCAAGGAGAAGAGCTGTTGCTTTCCCTCCTGCCAGCCAGCCTGGAGCCAAAGACCACAAGCTGATACACTGTCTTTTTCCAGAGCTGAGCATGAGAATCAACCCAGACTGTGCTGGCTGGGGGCAGGAACAGCTTCCTGAAGGGTCCTCAGCGCATCCTTTGGCATGAGCATCTGTTTCCAAATAGCCACGTGGGTTTCTCACAGCCCTGAAGAGATCTGCTGGGTCTCAAATATCCAAACCCTTTGCTTACCATATGATATCAGAAAGTTACTAACTGAGCTGAAGGAAACCAAGCTTGCTTTTGATTTTGGGTTTTTTCAAAGTGTAATGACCCGCAGCCTCATATCTTGTTAACCAAACATTGACGGTCATAAGCGCTTCCTTGGAAATATGAGAGCTGAGTGAAGGTGTTAAGTGCTGCTTTGGAAGTCTGGCTGAGAGCTGAATGGATGTATTTTACTGCACTGGGGTTATACAACCTAAATGTTCACATTTAGGTATTGTAAATAGTTATTTCCGGAACTGGTGTGACGGGAAAGTGACAGGCTGGAAATGTGTGTAACAGTTTAACTACTGTGATTCACTGTAAATTTGTATCTGAGTGTGGAGATAAGCCATGCTCCTCCCAGTTTTTTATCATCAGGAGCTTGCTCAGAAGACCTCTATGCCCTCATCCAAGCCACTGATGAACAAGTTAGATAACACTGGGCCCAGTGTAGAACCCTGGGGAACACCACTAGTGACAGGCCCCAACCAGGCTGTGCCACTGATCCTCCCAGTATGGGAAGCTGTGGATGGTGGCTCAGGTGCAAAGTGGTGCCTCCATCTGCTCTTTCTGTGTGCCCCTCACCCCTGCCCTGTGTCTGCAGCTGGATGACCTGTACCTGATCGCCCTGGTGCACCGCCGGGAGATCAAGTCCCTGCGGGACCTCACTGCCGAGCACCTCCCGCTGCTGAGGAACATCTTGCAGGAAGGAAAGGTGAGTGAGGCTGGTCCCACACTGTCCTGCCAGGGAGAGCTGGGGCTGCCTCTGCAGGGGCACTGCATCTGTATGGGGACTGATAACCCATCACACAACAGGGCTGTCTGCCCTCTCTGCCTGGAAACCCTGGTCCCTGCTGCTCTGTCAGCACCTTCTCCAGGCCATGCCATATTCCAGGTACTTTGTGGCTGTTCCATACTCCCCTGTTAGCAGTGAGTTAGAGTTGAGCCCCATATTAACAACTTCCTCCCTGACCCCTTGCCTGTTCTCACCAGCTAATGTGGTTTTTTCCACGGGGTGTATTTGGTAGGTGGATGTGCTACAGCTTCTCTTTCCTCTGCTGTGCTAGAATTGGGGAATTAATTTCACTGGGGAGAGTGGAAGATTAATGAAGAGATTAGTGAGGGCCATGGCTTTAATTACACCTGGTAACAGGAGCCCTGAGACTTGCCGAGTGAGCCACAGCGATAAGGGTGAGAGGGAAAATGATACAAGCACAGAGCAGTCCTGTCATGGAGGGAACAAAGTGGGGCAGCCAGAAGCATCACTTCATCCCTGTGGGGCAGCCAGAAGCATCACTTCATCCCTGTGGGGCAGCCAGAGACATCTATCCCTGTGGAGGCTGAAACAGGGTGGGAAGAGCTCTGTCCTTCCCAACTTCCCTCTCTCCTTTGCTGTGAGGAAGCAGAAATCCCTTCTGCCTTCCTCTACGCCTTTCCTGCTGCCCAGGGATGCTCCATTCCCTCCAAGGGTCCGTCTGTGCTCTGCCAGCCCTCAGCTGTTGTCTCCCCTCTGCAGGAGGCCGTGGCAAAGCGCTTTGGTGTTCCTGGCTCCCAGCTGCGCATCTACCTGCACTACCAGCCCTCCTACTACCACCTGCACGTGCACTTCACAGCCCTGGGCCACGAGGCACCAGGCAGCTCCGTGGAGAGAGCACATCTCCTGCCTGATGTCATCGACAACCTGGCCATGGACTCCCTGTATTACCAGAAACGGGCTCTGACCTTCCCCCTGCGGGCTGATGAGCCCCTCTTCAAGAAATTCCAGGAGGCAGGAAAAGTGTGAGCAGGCATATGTGCTTTTGTATCATTTTTAAAAGTAAATACCTGTTTTCCAGGGGGGTTTTTTTAAGGTTTTGTTGCTTTTATATTTTTTGACTCTGTTTTTGTACAAGGTGGGGCTGATGATCCTTTGCTATGGAAACTGTGTTGTCTGTTCAAGTCCATTAAAACATTGATGGAATAAACCCTTTGGAGTGTGCTGGATTTGACTCTGGACTTGGATGCAGTGAGCAGAGGGGTTTGGGCAGAAAGGGGCTGCCTGTATCCATCTTTTCCACGCAAAAGACAACCCCTGCCTCCCCACATGTCAGCCCAGACAGGGCAAGTAGGCAGACAGGTCCAAAAAACCTGTTGTCCTCAGAAAGCTTCGCTGAGAGCAGGGTTGCAGTTTTTCTGAGGCAGGGGAGGGGTGTTTTGGTCCAAATAAATCCAATGAGTAACCCAAGTCCTCACCCTTCCTGGCTGGCTCTGTTCAGACAAAGGCTCTGCTGCCTCATCCCCAGCCCAGAGCCATCACCTCTGCACTGCTCATTGCTCAGTTCTGCCTGAAGTGACCTCTGTTACCAGGGCAGTCTCTTCCTGGCAGAGGCTTCTCCAGGTTTTGCAAGGATGTTAGGGGTTAAAGCACTCAAAAAATAAATAACAGTGCTCTTCCTTCTGCTGAGGTGGTGGCTGGGCAGGAAGGAGCCAGGAGTTGGACTCAGTGACCTGTTGTGGTGGCAAAAGCTAGATTCTCTGTATGGAGAGTTCTTGCTCTGCCTTGGCATTGACTCCTTGGCATCTCTGCTGGACACCAACCTCTGAAATGTTCATGAGTTCTTGCTGCCAGGAAGGGCTCTGGTTTCTGGGCAGCTGGTAACCAGGGGTGTGATCACAGGCATCATCTTGCTGCCTACCCCAGTTCTCTGCTCCTTTCCACATGCTGAGCCCTAAGAGGGTTTATTTTTTTTTTTTTTGCTGATGGGTGGAAAACCCAGATGTGATTGATTTTTCAAGGCTGTGGCTGTGCCCTGTGCTGGAGCAGCCCAGAGCTGTCTGGAGTGCAAGTGGCACAGCAGAGATGCTCCAGGGCTTTGCTCAGCTCAGCTGAGCTGATTTATCACCAGGTCAGGCAGCACCTGGACATTTCAGCACCGAGGCAGAGC